TACACAAAATCATTCCTACATGCACTTTTACTTTTACACAATCATTCCTCATGCACTTTTAAATTACACAATCTTTTCCTCCCCAAACAAACCCCTTTCTTGGTTTCTCTTTATTTTTTATTACGTATTTAAATTTTAAAGTGAATACTTAAAAAATATTTTTTTTATCCTGGAATTTTATTTTTATTTATTTTTTTTTTTCCCACTTTTTATTAGCCCAATTTTTTTTATAAAAAAATTGAAAATATCTTCGAAAATTGAATTTTAAAGCTTAAAAAACTAAATTTTTTTCATTTGGGATTGAGTATAAAGAGTAAAATCGTTATATTTCTCTCTCATGCCTCATTAAGTCATTCATGTCAGGGGACCCATGGCTGGTAAAGGCAAAACCACACGCTGAAAGGGGCCGGGGTTTAATTCCCGGCAAGGTTGGAAACATTTGGGGGTTTTTTTTTACACCCTGTCTTGTTACCCTCGTAAAAGGCACCCGGGGGTTATCGACTGGGTGGTCGCAACCCGGGGCAAAACTGGTTATTATTTTAATTTTTATTATTAAAGATTAGCCATATTTCCCCGGGCCCGGCCTTTTTTCCCGTGGGGCCCGGCCCGGCTCCCCCCTTTAGGGATGCTGAGACCTAAGTCTCGAATGGGAGGAGGCAAAAAGTACCCCCTCATCTTTGGGCTAACTGTCCCCAGGCCTACCACAAGCAGGCCTTCTGGCGCCACCCCGCCCCAAGGGGGGAAAAAGGGGAAAACAGTCTTTGACTAAAGGTCGGGCTCAGGCACCCACCCTACCCAGAAGGGGAGGCATGGTTTTCGATCCACACCAAAACTGGTGTCGTACCTGTATACCTTGACATGTCTTTTAAAAAAATAAAGATACGTATTAACTTATTTTATTATTTTTTTATTATTATTATTATTATTATTATTATTATTATTTTATTATTATTTTATTATTTTATTATTACCCTTATAATCTTTTGCCTACTTCACACTCTCCGTTGCTTCAGTTTCTATTAAATTATAAATTTTCCTTTTTACCTCAAATTCCAGTCACCTTTTTTGATTTTTAAGTTTCCCCCTTTTCTAGTTTTTTTTTTTTTTCCTATTTCTCCGATTTTCCCTTCTTCCTTAAGTAATTTTCTACCATCGAAGCCTCGTTGGACCCCCTTACTTTGCGGTAAAAAACGTCAACACGTCTATCCATGTCGGTTTTTCCTGGGGGGAAAAAATTTTCCCAAATTCCCTTTTCGGGGCAAAAACCACTGATCGTTGTCTTGTTGGATGAGGGAAAGACCGCTGGGCTGGGTGAGCGCTGCAGCGAGGGTGGGGCGGGGGAGGCTTGGGGCCCATGAACCCAGGATAGTTATGGGAAACATCCAGACTGCAGAAGCATGATGCTCCCTGATGTAAGAAAATAAAAATGTTATCCCTGTCTTGATGATCAAAAACTTTTATTTAGTTGCTTTAATGGCGGTGGTGCCCCGTGGCCTGGGGGGCTAAAGCCCCGTTTCCAGTCTAGGGTCTGGTTCGAGTCCCAGCGAGGTTAAAAATATTGGCATATTTTCTTTAACCCGGTTGTCTAGTTCCCCACAGAAAAATGGGTCCCTTTGGGTGTTAGCCGACTGGTGTGGGTCGAACCCAGGGATAAAACTGACTAATTTTGCTTCGATATATTGTATGTCATTGAGTCAGCTGGGCCTGTATCCCTTTGTATTTATAGAGATAAAGATATTAAAATTTCATTATATCAAATTCAAAAAAAAATTATGTTTTCCTATTTTAATACAGTAGATATATTTTTACTTATATGGTTTTTATCCCTAAGCCCCCCCCCCCCAAAAAAAAAATGTTATATTTAGCCGCAGATAAAAATTGTGAACATGCCTTTGACTCGAACGCTGGAGAGACTGAGCTGCTGGAACTGCCATTCCCCGTAGGTATCTCAGGGGACGTAAGCGGATAAGCTTCAAATTTAGCTTCAATTATATGGGTGAACATTGGGAGGCCCCGGGTTTTTACACTGTTAGCATACGGCTTTCCTGTTGTGGACTGGCTTGCCATGTGTTTAAAACCCAATATCTGCAATTGCTTTATCATAGCTTGATAAAGTTATCTTTATGATTTGTTTTGTAACAGACTTAGCATTTTTTTACCTTCTCGTTTGCTGGAAAAGAAGATGATAAAATAATCAAATTCTGAAAGTAAAGGAGGCTGGAACTGCTAAATGGGGGTGGGAAATTATAAAAAAAGTTCATAGTACCATTCTAGAATGGTACGATAAAATTAGACACGCGCAACACGGGCATTTTCACTTTTTGCGTTTCGCCTAAACCCAGAAATAACTGGGGAAAGGGCGGGTAAAGCCCCTCGCGGCCCGCTCTGTGACCAGCCTCATGGGGGCACCTCCCCGATCAACCTGGCTTTTTAAAATAACGTACCAAACACAGCCCGGGTGGTAGGGACGACTTTTGGTGACTGCCCGCGCCTTCTTGAAGACAGCCAGGCGTCTTTTGGAATCCCCTTATGTACGTGAGACAGTTGAACAGTCCCCTGGGCCCCTGACGCTTATTGGTTTTTCTCTTAGCGCACTCGTGGCACCTCTGCTTTTCATTGGGGGAATGTTGCACCGGCTGCCGAGCCTTTTGTTTTCGTATTGAGTGATTTTGTGTGCAAATTTGGTACTAATCCTCTAGAATTTTCCAAATGTATATTAAATGTATCTTTCTCGCCTGCATTCCAGGGAATACAAATCAATGAACTTCAACTGCCCCCAGTAATTTAAGTGTTTTATCGTACTTATGTGTGTCATGAAGGGTCTCTGTACATTGTCCCAGGTCAGCAATTTCACCTGCCTTGGAAAGGCTGTTAGTGTACACAATAGCTAGTGTAGAGAGAAACCAGCAAGTTGAAGATAATCTCATGGGCTTGGCATCCCTAGATTGAAGGTTCTCATTATCCATTCCATCATTTTTCTAGCAGATGTGATAGAAACATTGTTGTGATCTTTGAAAGTGTGATTCTCTGACATTACACTCCCAGGGCCTTCATAGTTAGTATTCTGCTCTATTGTGTGGGTGGAATTTGTTTTATATTCCAATATAGTTTTTTAAATTTTTTCAAGATTTCCATTCGGGGAAATTTAAATTTTCTTTATGAACTTTTTTTATTTTTTCTGCGGCCCATGTAAAGATTTTGTTGTGTCAGCTTAGAGTCTGGCCGTGTCTTTGAGGACACACTTCATGCAAATTCGAGTGTTATCCGCAAAGGGAAACACGGAGCTATGGCATACGCTCTGTTTTTTGTCAGATAAGGGTTTTTGAGAAGAGGATGGGCGAGTACTGTCCTTGGGAACGGCTTTTTACTTTGCCGCCTCAAACTTTACTTCTGTTTAATTTTACTCTTTTGTTTTTATTTTTTTAGGAAGTTAGGATCCATCTACCAAACTTTTCAAGTGGCTTTTCCTCCCAATCAAGTACTAATGTGACGACAGAACTACATAGAAGACGAAGCAGTAAGTGCCTCCGCCTAGGAGTGGGTTTTAAGAGCACCATAGTACTGTAACATAGTACTGATTTGTTGGAATGAGACCAAAAAAGAAGAAAGCGAACTGTTTGAAAAGAGATAAAAATTTGGACTAAAATTTATCTGCTGGAATGAATCGATTGCGTTAGGGTGGTACTTTACTGGGAGGGGGTGGCCCTTATTGGGGGTAGGGTGAGTATTTTACTGGGGTAGGGGGTACTTTATTGGGGATAGGGGTGGTACTTTACTGGGGATAAGAGTGGATTTACTGGGTGGGTTGGTAGTTTACTGGGGTAGGGTGGTAGTTTACTGGGGATAAGAGTGGTGCTTTAGGGTGGGGTGATCTTTATTGGGGTTTAGGGTGGATTTACTGGGGATAAGAGTGGTGCTTACTGGGGTAGGGGTGGTATTTTTATGGGGGTAGGGGTGGAAAGTTTACGGGGGATAGTGGCTTTACTGGGGAAGGGGGGGTAGTTTACTGGGGTAGGGTGGTTTTTACTGGGTAAGAGTGGTGCTTTCGGGGTTAGGGGTGGTAGTTTATTGGGGATAGAGGGGTGGACTTTATGGGGATAAGAGTGGGTTGCTTTACTAGGGATAAGAGTGGTACTTCACTGGGGTAGGGGGGTATTTACTGGGGGTGGGGTGGAACTTACTGGGGGTAGGGTGGTACTTTACTGGGGATAAAGTGAGTTTACTGGGGTAGGGGTGGTTTTTACTGGGGGTAGGGTGGTACTTTACTGGGGAAGGGGTGTACATTACTGGGGTAAGGTTTTGGTACTTTACTCCAGAGATTAGGACAAAGAAGTTTTCTTTGATATTTATAGTCCCCAATTCCCACATGGGCACTGTATGGAGCTTTAAACAGAATGAATGTTCCCGAATGAGTAATATTTCATAGCAAATAACCCGTCTCAAAAACAAATAACAATGGCTGGGTTTTATCAAAAACCCCAGGAATGAGCTGGTACACTGCTTGCTTCTACCACTACCTGACCCCATCACACGTGATCTTGCAAACTAACACTTGTTTTCTCTATTACCTTTGGTGTGATGTGTCTTTTTCGAGCCCAATCTCATTTGATCTTTTAGCCTTATATGGCGGTGCATTTGCTCATCTTATGTACTCAATAAAGCCCAGCCTTTGGCAAGAAGTTATATTAAATGGATGGAAAGAGAATGTGATCTAACTGGAAAATCTGTACTTCCGAAACGATACTTTTAATTGCTTATAGAGGCATTGGAAATATAGGAGTACTCTTAACTGCTTGACGATTATGAACTGCTGGTAAGAGACCTTAAGCTGCTGGGATGAGACGATGAATAGAAGGAAGGAATTTCTGAATAATAAGAATAAAAATGTGTACTGTCATGGAAACAACGACCTCACACATGAACATTACCTATCATCATTTAAGTACCCGGCACACGAGTAAGACCCAGTACTGTGAAGGCACCCAGCAGAAGTTACTTACTTGGGCATAACTGCGGTGGTAGTGTGGAAGAGTCGCTTGTTGCTGTGGCTAAGAAAAGACTGGAGCAGAAACTTCTTCCTGGATGACGGCAGCTGTGGTAATACAGTCACCCTTCCATTTGTTGCTCTATATATATACCTGACAAACACTTGACACACCTCAAAAATCAATCGGAAATAATGTCTGGGACGAGTCGTCGCCTCTGGTAGGCCGGGTCCTCTTCCTTGACACCCTCCACATCTCACTTCATCCCAAATCGTCGGGACGACTCATCATGTGTGATTGTCAACGATGGAAGGGTCGAGTGTCATGGGTAATCTCGCCGATACTTGATACATGTAGCAATTGAGTTTCTGTTTTTAGGAAATATGTGCGTGGGAAAAAATAGACGCGTTACATAGCAATATTTTATTGTTTGAAATATTTTACTCTGTCTTGATCATTATTATTATTATCATGGAGAGCGCTAAACTCACAGGGATTATACAGCGCCTTTGGGGAAAGGTGGAAGATTAATTCAGGGAATTGGAGCACAGATCCGATTCACTAAATCAAGAGCCCTTTACCAGCATCAAGGAACCTCCCTTGAGGGGCACTCTGTCTTGAGCTTATAACGCTCTACGTAAGCCGAAACGTTGTCCTAATAAAAGCTTGTTTTGCAACGTGCTTATTGTTTGTAAGTTTATGATTATTAATTAGTTGTATTTTGTATATTTCTGGTATGTTTGTTATTGCTATTTGATGTTTATCAGCTATTTGTTGAAGATAATTGATAATTGTTTTGGTCTGACATCTGTTGCTTGAAAGTTGATTATTTTGTTAGCACCTTGACAGTTGTCAATGTTTGTTAGTATGGCAGACGATGGTTGTTACTTGATTTTTGTTTCTTGTTGACTTGATTTTGTTATGATTACTGTGAAAGTTTAGAAAAAATGGAGGAGCATTAGTTAGCTCGTAAGGAAATATTTTAATTCATTTAAGAATTGCGAAATCAATTAGAAACAAATGTGACCTGCTATCATTTTCCCCCAGGTTGATATAATTTCCAACTGGTAATTAATATACGTGAGATTGGCAATCATTTCCTCTCTTACATGTATAATGACAGTGTACAGCCATCGGTGAAGGCGTGGAGTTTTGAGATGAAATGAAGCAAATAAGCGCAGTAAACATTCCATAACAGTGAACCAGTTGAATGAACCTGGAAACACGGACTCTAAACCCTTTGAGGACTGTTTTTTTTTTTACAGAGGGTTTGAAAAGGGTTTAAAGGGATCCCTAGCTTTATTGACAAGCTATTTACAGGTTAAGGATTCCTAACTTTATTGACAAGCTAAGAGCTGGTACCTACATCAGCTCATTTGAAAGCATTTTTGTTGTTATGAGACATACAAGTAGGGAACAGGATGAAGTTGGAGCCATCTGTGGGCCAGCATATTCATTTGATCAACTGACTTTATCTCGTTGACATCATAATGCTGTACGAATGTGTTCCAGACTCGAGTCATCCTGGGGATAAACGATCTCAGATGGAGTGATTTTTCTGGAGAAGGGCACAGCCAGAGTGAAGTTGCTGCTTTCTGCCCGTCTTGTGGTATAGAGGCTTGCTTCTCGCTGTCCTCGAAGTGGATCCAAGTGTGGTACTTTGATAATATTGGCCTTGTACATAACAGTAAGGGCCCCCCACACCCCCTGTGTTGAAGGGTTGCTGAAAAAACAGATCATCCAGGACTGGTCCAGGCAAAGAGAGAAAGGTTGCTTGTTCTTACTCTCTCTCTCTCTCTCCCCCCCTCCCTCCCTCCTTCTCTCTCTCTCTTCTCTCTCCTTCTCCTTCTCTCTTCTCTCTCTCTCCCTCTCTCTCTCTCTCTCTCTCTCTCTCTCCTCTCTCTGCCTTGCTCTTGCATCCGTGCTCATTTTCCCCTACCCTTTCCCTTTGTGCCCCTTGGGAAACCCCCAAAACCCAAGGGAAAGGATTTTCCCTTTTCCTTCTCAAAAAAAGTAAGTTACTTTTCCCTTTTTTCGATTGTGGTAGGAGGAGAGAAAAATTTTATCCCAACGAAGGAAAAGGGTAAGACCAAATTAGATAATCAGAAAATATTCAAATTGCTCTGAAGCATTGAAATAGCACTTTTTTTTTATTTTTTTTTAATATTTAATTTTTTAAAAAAAAATCACATGAAAAACCATTAAAATCATGCTTCAACCCAAAGATGCAGTAAGGAAAGGAAAAAAAAAGTGAAAAAGCATGGAAAAGTATGAAAAGAAAGGGCAAAGAGGAGAGGACATGGGACCCAAAAATTTGGGGGAGGGAGAATATGGGCAGAAATTTGAGAATGACAGCATCAAAAGTCAATTCTGAGCCGAAACTGGTTCACAAGAAGGGAAAAAGCATCAGAAGAGACAAAGTAATAAGGCGAAAAAGGAATGAGTGACGGGCATCAGGGCAGCTGACGAAGGGGTAAGCGAGTTTCCTCCCCTGAAGAAAAGTTCAGCCCTGGGAAAGTCCACAGGGGATAAAAAGGGACCTGAGATGAGGGACACGGCTTCCAACGATCTTATAAACCTTCAGACAATAATGACAGATTCGGATTGCTCCAGCCAGTAAAAAAAGCAAGATAGCACAAACAGTCTCAAGCACCACCCCGTACGAATGCTATTTTTGTATGCTTTATATAGGATTTATATAAGGGAAAAGGCCCCTGTAAAAGAGAGAAAAATTGTTTACCTTGGGGTAAAGACTCCAACAACCAGAAAAACCGTTTAAAATTTTCAAACAAGGCAGCCAGGAAGCTTACGCCTTCGCCGTATCCCATCCCCTTACAGTAGGGGTTGCAGATCCGTCGGGGCACAAGTACGCTCGACCTTGATATGCTCCATTTTCTTGTTTGCCTGCCCCCCCCCTCTCATCTGCGACTGCTTGACAGAGTAGAGAAAGAGCAAGAAGTTCATCTCTCCCCTGGACCCACCTGGATAATCTGTCTTTTCGCAAGCCTTCAACAAAGGAGGAATGGGGGGGGCCCTTACTGTTAGTAAAAGGGCCCAAATTGTCAAAAACCACACTTGGGTCCACTTCGAGGACCGTGGAAAGAACTTTTTTTGCCCCAAGACGGGCAGAAAGCACAACTTCACTCTGGCTGTACCCTTTTCCAAACATCACCCATCTGAGATCTACATACCCAATGACTAGAGTTGGAACAATTCGAACAGCAAAAATGTCAACGAGAAAAAGTCAGTTTATCAAATGAAAATCTGGCCCACAGATGGGTCCAAAATTCATCCCGTTTCCTACTTGTATTCTCAAACAATAAAAATGCTTTCAAATGAGCTGATGTAGGTAAAGCTCTTAGCTTTGCCAATAAAGTTAGGAATCCTTTAACCGAAAACTGTCAAAAAAGCTAGGGACCTTAACCTTGCTACCCGTGAAAAAAAAAAAAAAAAAAAAAAAGAGAGAGAGGGAAGGAGGGGGAGGAGAAGAGAGAGAGAGAGAGGAGGGAAAAAAGGGGAGAGAGGGGGAGAGGGGGAGAGAGAGAGAGAGAGAGAAGAGAGAGAGAGAGAGAATCTTGTGAGGGGTAAGGAAAAGTGAGATACGTGATAATTCAATGAAAAAATTTTATCGGAAAGAAAAACCCAAATACAGTGCCATTTAAATGTGCAAAAAACATTGTCGTGTCAGTAACAAAAGCAACATCCTATTAACATCCTGAATTTATATCTCTCCGAGCGACCTCACAACCCTATATCAATTTTTTTGTTTAAGATTTTTTGCCTGTATTGTATCAGTTTCGATGTGGATTTCATAAGCGATGTTCAAATTTATTATCACACACGGGTTTTTTTTAGTCCCTTACAGAGTAGTGCGCACTACTTTCCCCTCATAAACAGGGCAAACATGAGGTGGGGTGGGGGGGAAAGAGGTACTGAGGGAAGATAGAGCGTTTTTAAATTAAATGGTTAAAACGACCATAATTTTTAAAGGGGGGGACCGGAAGCCAGTGGAAGGGCCCCGGTCCGATGACCAAAAAACCCACGGGGGGTCTCAATTGACAAAAAACCCCCCGGGTTTGGAAACCCTTTTCCTGTTTCCCGACGAGCCTACCTAACCTAACCTGAGGAGAGAGGGAACTCGAGTACGCCGAAAACTGCCAGTTTGCGTTTGTGTTCCGCACTGTATTGAACATTTTAGTAATGTTTTGTTTTAGTGCAAGTGTTTGTGGCGATTTATACACGAGTGATTTTACTGCCCTGAAAGTTTTTTCT